CTTGAGACTGGAAGTGCTTTGGTTTTCAGATTTTTTCAGATTTTGAAATACCGGCTATTTAATTTGCATATAGCATGTTGAGAATGAAACCCAAGCATAAACACAAAATATCCTTTTACATTTTATAACACAGCTTATGTATATATTCTGAAGGTAGTCTTATATAAATAACATATACCCTGAAAGTAGTTTTATATAAAATTTAATTAATTTTGTGTACCTATAGATACAGGTAATTATGCTAATCATCTAATGTTTACACAGATTTTTAATTGGTGAAATTAAGATTTCACATAAAAATAATGTTTTGTACTTTCTGTGCATGTACAAAAGAATATGATCATTATATTTTTGCTGTAACACTCTCATTTGCATATGTTTGTATTACTGTCTCTGTTAATATATTTGTTTAACTCAATTCTTTTCTTTGTGTCTTTATTTCTGGCCCCTAACAAGGCCACAACACATACAATAGTCAAAACATTGTAAATATGGGAATAAAGACAGTAGTCCAAACAATGTAAATAGTGTAAACAGCTATTTGATTTGTATATAGCATCTATAAAATGAGGCAGTTTAGGTTCCATGACCCACCCAAGTATAAACATTATATCCCTTTACATTTTATAACACAGCTTATTTTTACAGTTCCACAAGGCTGAAGGTAGTTTTATATAAAATTTTAATAAATTTTGTGTAGATTCAGGTAATGATGCTAATCATGTAATGCTCACACAGATTTTTAATTGGTGAAATTAAGATTTCACATAAAAATAATGTTTTGTACTTTCTGTATGTGTACAAAAAGTATATGATCACTACTTACAAAAAATATATAAATGCAGGACTTTTTGACATTTTGAATAATATCTTTATTGAGCATGAAATACCTGGTAAATAATCCACAAATTAAGGTTTTGCTGTGATAATCACTAACAAAAAACTGGCACCAACATAGACTACATAGCTAGGCTGGAAAGCCCCCATCCAGGGAAGATGAGGTCACTTACAGCAGCTGCACATCACCTAGGAAGCTTCCCAGTGCTTTCTGAAATTTTCCATTTGTGGCAAGTCATATTGGCACCTGAAAAACTTTTTTTTTATTTTAGAGATTTTCAGATTTTTGGAATTTCATATAAAGAATATTCAAACTGTATAAACTTCAAAAGTAAATGGTAACAATTTGTCAATAACTACTAGTTTCTTTTTAATTTTATATATAATAATCTATTGCAAATCATATTTTGCAGGATGTCATTTAATTATATCATTAACTCCATGACATATTTATGAAAAGACATTGTTAGTAATATTAACCATTTCCTTATAAGGAAACATTTATCATTGATTGACTGGGAAGCCACTGCTACATTTGGTTAAAATTTATAAAATCTTTCTATTAAAACAATTTTTCAGAAAAATAGATTTCCCAAGTTCAGTAACAGTTATCACTTTTTTTCCAGTATTGATGGAGTTTCCTTCCTAGCCTTTTGTTTGAAGTAGTGTGGAATATCAACATCTTCATTATGTCATTATTTTCTCTTCAAATTACATGTGATATCCATTTTCCTTACACAGAAGCTGCTAGTGGCCCACTAGCAGCTTGCTGGTGGCAGTGCTAGTGGTCCTCTGGTGGCAGCCTCTTGCTGTCCACTAGTGGTAACATCACTGAGAGGAACATGTTGGCAGTCCAACAGCGGGCCAACAGCAGTAAACGCTAGTGGCATGCCACTCTGTAGCAGATTGCATGTAGGGAGTTGTTGCTGCTACAAATGTCCTCAGGTGATGTGATTTCTGTTATCTGGTACAGTTATTTGTTAAGGGATTCAGTAACACCAGATCACATGATTCAAATAAGGATGGTCCTTGCTAAGACCTACAGGCTTCATTTTCTCAAAGCTTTTTTTTTTAATCATTGATCTGAGAAAGTGGTTGTACACGGCTGGTATTCTAGATATTTCTGATTGAGCCTGAACATAGCACAACAGGACTATTCAAGAACATTACTCAAGTTTTTATGTTGATATACATTTGCTACACATATATAATTAAGTATAATTAAAAATGACAGACAAGGTACTATAATTAAGCTTTTTATTTATTTTTTTTTTGTGTTTGAACAGGTGTTTCCTTGTTTGAACACAAGAAAAATTAGATAAAAAAGCTTAATCATAGTACCTTGTCATTGTTTTTAATGAAACATGCATAAATGAAGGATTGCTGCCTAAATACAGAATTAAGTATAAGCATATTAATAATTATAAGAGTTAATATGTATTATTGAACTATAAAGTTATAACATATAATTATAAGATTATAATATTATATAATATTATATAATTATTTTATATTATAATATTATATAATTTCTCTACATATGATTATAAGAGTTAATATGTATTACTGAACTATAAAGTTATAACATATAATTATACTATATATGATTGGAGAAATTATAAGAGTTTTAGTGATTTGTTGCACTTTATCCATTGCAGAATTACAATTGATCAAGTTCTCAGGAGGATTAAGAAAAAGGTGATCATTCATTGTTTCTAACATATAAAAATTCTTGCCAGAATTCATGTTAATTAAAATATTAATGGCATAATGAAACATAATTAACTCATGTCCTCCAGGTGTCAGTTTTAACTGACACCTTCTTTATCCCAAATATCTAAACTATAATTTTGAAAAGAGAAAATTTTACTGAAATATGTCAGAAAATTTATAAATTTTTACCTGAAATAAGAAAGAACGAATAAGTAAAATGGTTGCAATTTATGAAAAATAAAATGGTGCCAGTTTAAACTGGCAGCTTCTTTTTCACATATATCTAAAATATATTTACAAACAGATGAAATGTCATAAATATAGTAATAAAGATGAGGACAATAGTCAAACACTGCAAATAGTTACAATACCTCATTTCAGAAATATAGACAAATCTAAAATATACTTATAAATGAGAATTTATGAAAGTGCAAATTTCACTGAAATATGTCGGAAATTTTTCAAGTTTGTATCTGAAATAAAAAAAAGTACAAACTATGTAAAATGGTAACAATATATGGAAAAAAAGAAAGTGACAGTTTAAACCAGTTTCTTAACCTTTTTAAACAATGACACACCTAAGAGCAAATAAAAATATCACAGCACCCTTACAAAAATTTTAAAGCATTTAAATGTTATGAAACAAAACCATAGATTTTTTTAAAAATAGACATAAAAATATGAACATACTTTATTTAAATGTTTCTACTCAACTATTTGTGGAGTTGATTTAGTATGAAACTTGTGCCTGGTGTTTTTTGGTCAAATGTGTGATAAGCAAACGTTCATTTCTTCTTCAGTTGAGTGTAGTCTTTCTTGCTTGTTATTTTTTTATGTTATTTAGGGTTGATAAGCCAAATTCTCATAAATAAGAAATATAAAATTGCAATAAAACTGATAAAGCCTTTTTAGCTAATGTGAAATAAAAAGTTTAGTACTTATTCATTTATTCAAATACTAACACTGTATCATTTCTACTTACACACACACACACACACAGACACACACACACACACACAGATATATATATATATATATATATATACAATAAACGTGCAATCAATTTACAAATACATGAATTATTCACACAAAAACTAATGCAAAGGTTAATGATTTAAATGGCGAGACATCCATCATCACAAAAAATTCAAATAATATACAAAAACCTCCGTATCCGTTATGAATGAAATGATCCTTGTTTATATAAATTTCTGCCGTATTAGTTCTTATTTTACTACAAGCTTTTGTCTGTTCCTACAGACATCTTCAGGTATAGAATAGATGTCGTTCTTGTTTTTTCTCTTAGTAATAAGAGGACAACGAAAATATATGTATTGTTGTATCCGAAAATGCTATTGAAAATGAGTTATTGTTTTTGAACGCGCAAAAGCAACGCTGAGTTTGATTTTAAATTTTTAAAGGTTGTGCGTTCATATAAGATATGGTGATGAACAAATTTTTACTGGTAAATTTGACAGAAAAATTTACCAGTAAAAAATTTGTTCATTGTAATATGAAGATGTCTGTAGGAACAGACAAAAGCTTGTAGTAAAATAAGAACTAATACGGCAGAAATTTATATAAACAAGGATCATTTCATTCATAACGGATACGGAGGTTTTGTATATTATTTGAATTGTTTACATGATGGATGTCTCGCATTTTAAATCATTAATCTTTGCATTAGTTTTTGTGTGAATAATTCATGTATATATATATATATATATATATATATATTTATATATATATACATATGCTGTAACAATATTTCATGGCACCCTTGTGTAGCACACTAGTGTGCCATGACACAACAGTTGAGAATCACTGGTTTAAACTAATACAAAGGACATATAGGTTAATAAATGTATTTTTGATTTTAAAAAATTTGAATAATAAAGATTTTCCTCCAAAATCTAAAAAGCAAAAAAATATAAAAATAAAATTGTATAACTATTTGTAATTTCAAGAAAAGGGATAATAATGAATATTTTTAGGTCTGTCTTTACAAATCTAAAATAAGATATTAATTACTCTTATTTGAACGGAATCAAAATAAATGCTTGAATTTCTTGAAAATATGAATCACAATTATAATTACTAAACATGAGGCTCTTTGTAAGACAGTAACAAAAAGTAAACAGTGCATAAGGTTCAACCAAAGAGTCTTGTTGACATTTTCATGGTGTGACCTTTTCACAGTAACTTGTAATTCACCCACCTCAACCACAAAAATGTAACCTCCAACCCCTGACCTTCAACCATAACCATTTGGACAAAATATTTTCTCACAATACATCCTGTGTAGGCAGGTCATCCGAATTCTATATCCTATTTAGAGAAATCTTCATCTTTTTTCTTTATTACATTTTAATAAAAATTTGATGCTACATTGTGATTAAAATTAATAATTGATAAATTGATAGAAATTTATTACATTTATGCAAAATTAAATGTTTTTCTCTCTCACTTTATATATCCCTCTCATTCTCTTTATCTGTCTATCTCAGTCTGTTCATATCTATCTATCTATCTATCTATCTATCTATCTATCTATTTCATTTTGTTCATTATCTATCTATCTATCTATCTATCTATCTATCTATCTATCTATCTATCTATCTATTTCATTTTGTTCATTATCTATCTATCTATCTATCTATCTATCTATCTGTTATATGCCATGTGTGATAAATGCTTAGGCGATCATGTATCTTTCAATACATGACTGACAAGGCAGATTTTTTCCCACAGTAGTTTGCCATTTCTTTCTGCGGTAGACCAGTTGCCATCCAAGGCTACAGAACCCCATCTGTACCTGGAGGGAGAAGGAGAGGATTCATACCTTTCCCAAGGGTATTAGCACATAAGAGAATGTAATGGATTTGACTGGAATTCAAACTTGGCTCTCCGATTCCTCAATCTGAGCCACTATTCATTACTCCACTGTGCCTCCCACAACTAGTTGTACTACCATATATATATATATATATATATATATATATATATCATTCTGTTTATATCTATCTCCCTCTCTCTTTCTCTCTTTCTATATATATATATATATATATATATATATATATGTTTGGTGGCCTGATGATATATATATATATATATATATATATATATCATAAATATGTGAAAGAACAGCATTCAAAACATTAATTTAAAAACAGTGCTCAATACACAAAGTGGAGGCTGTAAATATTTATTCATCTTATGCAGTGTTACATTAGAAGATGCACACTATATATATATATATATATATATATATATATATATATATATATATATATTTTCAGTTTGTTCACATCTATCTATCTGTATGTGTGTGTGTCTATGTGTGTGGTTAATAATTTTGTAATTTTTTATCATTCATCTTCTACATACAGTATATCTAATGAAGAAAAATGTCTCTTAATTCAGTTGGCAGTGCTTTTTATCAGTTAAATTTTACTTTTATCAAGCAGGCTTTTTCTAAACCACAAGTCCCTAAAGTGTTTGATATCATACCCTAGGTGTCAATGGGACTATGCAATGGCTGTGTCAACAGGGTGACAATAAATACTTGATTTGGAAATAGAAAATGCTTATGCAACCTGACTTATGAGATGAACTCATTGATGTATGTCAATTTTAAAGCTAAATAATTGTTCAAAAGTAAAAGTATCAGTCACTATTGGAGTAATGTAAATACTACTACTAAATACTCCAAGCTTAGTGTTGCAATTACACCATTTTTACTTTTCATAGATGACTGTAGCTGGTTTTAAACACAAATGAGACTGTAATTAAGCAGAGTAACAGACTAAACCTGCAAAAGTGTGATGACTTACAAGTAAAAATAATTGAACCTTGCTACTGCTTATCAAACATATCCTTCCCATTAATGATATTAACCAGTTCAATAAAAAGAGATATTAATTTATTTTTAATGTGTTTATTAATATTACTGATAATATTTATGAAATTTTCTTTTTCTTCTTCTTCTTCTTCTTCTTCTTCTTCTTCTTCTTCTTATTATTATTATTATTATTATTATTATTATTATTATTATTTCCTTTGGTTTCTGGTGTGTACTCATTTCTTTCCGGGTCCCAACCAGAGACCTAAGGTTAGAAATGGTATTGTGACATTTTCCACTGAACGATGTTGAAAAAAAATCTCACATATTTTACATAAATAAAGCTCTTTGTAAGATGTGGGCTTATTATTATTGTTGTTGTATCCTTATAGAAGGTTACAAACAGACAAAGGTGGTACTTGAGTGAAAGGAACAGCAACACAGGCGTAGATGAAAGAAAGAGAGGTTTATTGTAAAAGAGAATATGCTGCTGAAAGACAGGGAATCGGTTAGCAAGCTAGTAATTCTCAAAGCAAGGATATCTACCAACCGCCCATCACAGTCAGATGTGGCACAAGGTCAAATTTAATGTGGGGTATCTGAGCCCATAGGCTCAGCCAAAAAATTCCCCTTATAAAACAAGGTCAAGTAGCTATTTCCCAAGATGAGACTTTGCCCTTTAAGATAGCCTTGTCTGGGGATTCTCTCTGCCCAGAGGCAGAGAGTTTGACCAGCACAGCTGGAGATGAATCTCCAACTCTAGACTAATTTCCGAAGCAAGTCCCAGGTATATCCTGTGCTTATTATATATGCCTACTTATATAGTCAGTCCATGTAGGCGATAGGAAGTGTGGGACATTCCATTACAACAGTTCTTCTTATTATTATTATTGTGTTTTGTCTTTGCTTTTTGCCTCCAAGCCTCAACTGGATTTAGCATTATTATTATTAAGTTGTTGTCACACATTGACATAAGTTAATGAAAATTCTGTTCTTAAGCTATAGTGTCAACATGACTACTCATAACTCTAAGAACTTTTTGGAGAATTCTAGCAGATTCTGGAGGACTACAATCTTGGTCTCAATTCTAATTCTCCTTAAGTGCTTTTTTTAGTTTTCTGGCTAGTGTTCAAGACACACCCATTACTACTGGGATTAGTTTTACATTCATATTTGATAGCTTCTTCAGCTCCTTAGTCAAATCCTGGTATTTTTCTATCTTTCCAATTTCTTTGGAGTCTCTCTTGTACCATATAGAACAGCAAAGGCAATAATTTGACACTTGCTATTCTCCTTATCTATAACAATAAGGTCAGGTTTTTGTTATTCAATGACTTTATCTATCTGGACTAAGAATTTCCATAATATTTTTGTTGTTATTATCACATTTCAGCCACTGTATCCTCCAGCCTTCATCATGCGTATATTGATCTAGATAACCTACATGGGTGTTAAGTTCAAATTCCCTGTTGGTTACCCAAATTGACATAAAACCTGATGAAGGCCGGAGGGTATAACAGCCAAAACTTTGAAAACAACAACAAAGATAAGGACATTAGTCTGCATATAAATAGTGCAAATAATAATTAAATAATAATTAAATTTACTAATTTTTCATGTTTAAGCAATTTAGTACAATTTTAAGAAAATCTAATTAAACATATTATTTTGATTTATTTAGATAATTATATAAAATATTTTTGACTCAATTCAACTAATTTGTAGTACTGTGAAATATCGGATGACAACAGTAATTACTATGAACACTAGAAAAACAAGTTGATGACTAGCATTGCCAGGCCTAAAATTATAGAATTCTAAAAAAAAAATAATATTTTTTAAATTATTTACTTTATATACACTTCAAAAACAACAATTTTTGTAAGTCAAGATTAGATTTATGCTACATTTTCTTTAAATATAAACACACTGAGATTTTTTTGTGCAAAGCAGATGTTAAGTTATTTTATACAAACATAATGAATTAAAAAAAATTGTCAACAGAAATATTACTTAAATATGGCAATTTTTTAAATTTGAATTAAAAAAATAAATAACAGATGAAATATTTATTTGTTAATTTAATAATCTATAAAAAAGCTGATAAATAAATTCACTATATGGTCTGTTTTTTCTGCTGATGTAAGGATGGAGGACACAGACAAAATTTAATAAATTCACTATATAGGCTGTTTTTTCTTTACTGATGTATAATGGGGATATAAACAAAATTTAATAAATTCACTATATGGGGTGTTTTTTTCTACTGATGTAAGATGGTGATATAAACAAAATTTAATATGTTCACTATATGGGCTGTTTTTTTTTTCTACTGATGTAAGATGGTAATATAAACAAAATTTAATAAATTCACTATATAGGCTTTTTTCTTGTTACTGATGTAAGATAGGGGTATAAACAAGATTTAATAATATTTATTATATGGCCATTTTTCTACTGATGTAAAGTGACAGACAGACAAAATTTACAAGAATTTATAAAATATTATATTTTTCTTTCATTTTAATTTCCTATTCTTGAATATTTATTTCTTTTCTTCATTTGATCGTTGCTTTATTTCTAATTCTTATCCTATTCATTATTAATTCTTTTATCCAACTTTTATTTCTGCTTTCAGACTGTGATGAAATTTATCAAAGAAGTGGCTTGAAATTGAAAGGTGATTTTTTCCTGACAATTTGGCCTGAAAAAGCTCCACACAAGTTTAAAGTCAGATGTCGTGTATTTAATAACACAGGTAAGTACAAAAACATAATGAAAATTAGGAAACTAAACAAGATCATATGTATTTACAATTTTATTTTCAAATAAGTAAAATAATATAATATGTGCATATGTGTATATAGGGGGATTGCTGAATTACATAATGCATAGTGAAATTGAAAATTTATAAAAAATTTGGCAAAACAAAAGTAACCTGTTTTTTGAAAATGGCAGTTGGAAAGTTGTGCAATGTTTAAACAAAAAAAAATGGTGTTTCAAAAGGATGTTTTTTTCCTTTGACACTGCTATTATTTTAACTACCTTCACTCCTCAGAAAACTGTTTATTGTTTTAAAAAGCAATGATTAGAATTGTAATAAAACCTAAACACATGAGGAAAGTGAATTTATATATATCTTTTTGTTCTTGAGAATTTAAGACAAAAATATTAAACATTGTGTTGTGTATGATACACCTAATTTACATAAGTGGAGTACTGACCATATAAATATGGGTTGGTACCGGAAGACGACGGAAGATTAAGAGATCGAATCCAGAGACTCTGCCCGACTGCGACTTAGTCAACCCATTCTGCAGGAACAGTCTTCCCAAGAATATACCAAAACTACCTGTAAATATTGTGTACCTTTTTTCATTGTTTCAATACATTTTGTGTTGTATTATTATTATTCCATGCTTATTCAAGCTTCAACACATTGTTTATTTATTAGATTGTTTATTTACAAGAATAATTTTATATTTACAACATTCCAAATACTAATACAATTGTATTAAGGCAAAGGCAGTGCAATATTTATTGTTTATGAATTTATAAAGAAATAAATATGTAACCAATTTTTTATTTACAAACTTATAAATGTTTACTAAATTATTAAAATATGTAAACCAACTATAAGAAAATCTTTATTATTTAGCATTTTATAAAGTTTCAATCAATTTGCAATTAGCTGATATTTTACCAATCATTCCAATAAACATAACCATATTTGAATAGATGCTATGTTTATTTTAAACAGTACTTTATTTTATCTACCACTCTGATCATTCTTATTAAAGAAAACGTACCCTCCAACATTCAGGCCAGTAGATGAAGTAAAATACTGTTTAAAATAAATGGAGCATCTACTACATATATATAAAAAAAGCCTTTTGATTGGAACTTGGAAGAGGAAACTGTCTAGAAGTTGTTGATTGTTGTGCTAGTACAAAGTCATAACCAAGGTCGTGAGTGTTCAAACTGGTGATCATGCCAGATTATACACTCTTCTCTCCAGAAACTGTAATTAAGGTCAATATAATTATTGGTATAAACCAAAATTGGGCTCTGTAGCTGTTGAACAATATGCATGGTCAAGCATCAACTTCATAGATAGGGGTGCTCAGAAAATGTAACTAAGGCCAGCACAGCACAGTTTCAGTATAAACCACAGTTTGGCTCCATTGATAATGAACACACATGAATCTTCCTGAGCAGTTATTTACAATAGGGATTAGCCAATCACTTTAGCAGATGAATGTGACTGGTAAACAATACTAGACAATTTTTTGCCAGAATCTATCTTACACATTTATAAATCTATCATTTCTCCATGCATTGAATATTGCTGCCACATTTGGTCTGGTGCTTCTGCTATGTATTTAGAGATTCTTGATAAAATCTGCAATGTTATCAATCCTGACCTGGCATTTTGTCTTTTGTCACCTTTTCATCACTATAACATAGCTTTCCTGTGGCTTTTCTATAAATATTTTGATGCTAATTCTTTTGATGAGCTTTCCTCATTGGTACCTCAAATTTACAAATTTAAGTGCAGTACTTGATTGGCAGCTAGGTATCATCATTTTACACTTGAAATTGCTAGATGTAACAGTAAGTTCTATGCTAATAGCTTTTTCTTTCACATCTCTCCCTTGAATTCTCTTTTGTTTTTTTTTCCTTTCCAGTCAACTTTGACCTTCAAAAATTTAAATGCAATGTCAATTGTTATATTCTCTCTATTCTTTTATTGACTTCTCTCCTTAATAAAGATTTTTCTCTAATTCTTTCACACTCATTAACCCCTTGTATCTTAGTGGCTTTATCACCTTGTTTGGGGTGAAATGATTAAATAAAAATATATGCATACGTATATATATATATATATATATATATATATATATATATATATATATATATATATATTTCAATTTAAAAAAACAGACCACGTTAAGGCTCCATTTGTAATAATTTATTTCACCAGAGAATTTTATTTTTTGCTTGATCTTTAATTGTTTTATGGGTTCCTTCTAAAGCCTTCTCATTCTCTTTCACTCCCAATATCCCCTTGTGTCTTAGTGACATTAACCATTTGCTTGGGGTGAATTGATTTAAAATAAAGAAAATCATTTATTGCAAATTAAAATAATTGTAAATTTTATTAAGCTGAAATATAATGAAATGAGAGACTTTTTATTTAATAAAGTATGAAATTTTAGTCTTAATATGACTTTATTACAAATTTGTTTTACCCTGTCTTTTATTTATTGTCAGATATTTACATTTATATAAATCAAAATTGCAGCATGGGTTCTTGTACAGAGAAGAAAAGATGGCAGTGTCAATTTCTTTCGAAACTGGGAGGATTACAAAAAGGGATTTGGAAATCTTGATGGTGAATTTTGGATTGGAAATGATAATCTGCATTATTTAACCAATCAGGGTAAGTGATATCAGTTTTACTATATCGATAAATGTTGTGTGTGTCTATGTGACTGCATGTTTATGTGATAATGTAATATTTGTCATCATCCTGATTTATGTCCCATGTCCCTTCACAACTTGGATGATCATAGCTCTCCATAATTTCTTGTCCTTTGTAGCACTTTCTAATGTTTGTCTATTTTACTATCCTTCCAACTCCCTTTCCTGCTATCCATTTACACAAGTTCATTAGGGAAGTTATTCACTGATTTTCTCTGTTTCTCTTATCTACTATTGAGGAGTTATAACTCCAAGTAAATAACTATATTATATTAAATAATTATAAACCATCTATCATTTATATGTACAAAGAAATACTTTTAAAAATGTGAAACAGCAAGATGTGGAAACAATAAAATGAGTATTATTTATTATCTGGTTGTCATGTTATTTTATTTTCTTTCTTTGAAGAGACTTTATTTTATCTTTCTTTTCTTTTTTAGACTATATCTTATGTCTTTTTTTTTTTTTTAGAGCTAACTATATCTTATGTCTTTTTTTTTTAGAGGTAACTATATCTTATGTCTTTTTTTTAGAGGTAACTATATCTTATGTCTTTTTTTTTAGAGGTAACTATATCTTACGTCTTTTTTTTAGAGGTAACTATATCTTACATCTTTTTTTTAGAGGTAACAATATCTTACGTCTTTTTTTTAGAGGTAACTATATCTTATGTCTTTTTTTTAGAGGTAACTAAATCTTACGTCTTTTTTTTTTAGAGGTAACTATATCTTATGTCTTTTTTTTTTTAGAGGTAACTATATCTTATGTCTTTTTTTTTTTTAGAGGTAACTATATCTTATGTCTTTTTTTTTTTTAGAGGTAACTATATCTTATGTCTTTTTTTTTTTAGAGGTAACTATATCTTATGTCTTTTTTTTTTTAGAGGTAACTATATCTTATGTCTTTTTTTTAGAGGTAACTATATCTTATGTCTTTTTTTTTTAGAGGTAACTATATCTTATGTCTTTTTTTTTAGAGGTAACTATATCTTACATCTTTTTTTTAGAGGTAACTATATCTTACGTCTTTTTTTTAGAGGTAACTATATCTTATGTCTTTTTTTTTTTTTTGGTAACTATATCTTACGTCTTTTTTTTTAGAGGTAACTATATCTTATGTCTTTTTTTTTTTTTTAGAGGTAACTATATCTTTTTTTTTTTTTTTTTTTTAGAGTAACTAAGAGGTAACTATATCTTATGTCTTTTTTTTTTTTTTTTAGGTAACTATATCTTATGTCTTTTTTTTTTTTTAGAGGTAACTATATCTTATGTCTTTTTTTTTAGAGGTAACTATATGTCTTTTTTTATGTCTTTTTTTTTTCTTTTTTTTAGGTAACTATATATCTTTTTTTTTTTCTTAGAGGTAACTATATCTTATGTCTTTTTTTTAGAGGTAACTATATCTTATGTCTTTTTTTTTTAGAGGTAACTATATCTTTTTTTAGAGTATGTCTTTTTTTTTAGAGGTAACTATATCTTTTTTTTTATGTCTTTTTTTTTTTTAGGTAACTATATCTTATGTCTTTTTTTTTTAGAGGTAACTTTTTATGTTTTTTTTTTTTAGAGGTAACTATATCTTATGTCTTTTTTTTTTTTAGAGGTAACTATATCTTTTTTGTCTTTTTTTTTTAGAGGTAACTATATCTTATGTCTTTTTTTTTTTAGAGGTAACTATATCTTATGTCTTTTTTTTTATTAGAGGTAACTATATCTTATGTCTTTTTTTTAGAGGTAACTATATCTTATGTCTTTTTTTTTTTAGAGGTAACTATATCTTATGTCTTTTTTTAGAGGTAACTATATCTTATGGCTTTTTTTTTAGAGGTAACTATATTTTATGTCTTTTTTTTAGAGGTAACTATATCTTATGTCTTTTTTTTTTAGAGGTAACTATATCTTATGTCTTTTTTTAGAGGTAACTATATCTAATGTCTTTTTTTTTAGTTTTAGGTAACTATATCTTATGTCTTTTTTTTTTTTAGAGGTAACTATATCTTATGTCTTTTTTTTTTTTAGAGGTAACTATATCTTATGTCTTTTTTTTTTTTTTTCTTTTTAGGTAACTATATCTTATGTTTTTTTTTTTTTAGAGGTAACTATATCTTATGTCTTTTTTTTTTAGAGGTAACTATATCTTATGTCTTTTTTTTTAGAGGTAACTATATCTTATGTCTTTTTTTTTTTTTTTTTTTTAGGTAATATCTTATATTTTTTTTTTTTTTAGAGGTAACTATATCTTATGTATTTTTTTTTTTTTAGAGGTAACTATATCTTATGTCTTTTTTTTTTTTAGAGGTAACTATATCTTATGTCTTTTTTTTTTTTTTAGAGGTAACTATATCTTATGTCTTTTTTTTTAGAGGTAACTATACATCTTATGTCTTTTTTTTTTTAGGGTAACTATATCTTATTTTTTTTTTTTTTAGAGGTAACTATATCTTATGTCTTTTTTTTTTAGAGGTAACTATATTTATGTCTTTTTTTTTTAGAGGTAACTATATCTTATGTCTTTTTTTTAGAGGTAACTATATCTTATGTCTTTTTTTTTTTAGAGGTAACTATATCTTATGTCTTTTTTTTTTTTAAGAACTATATCTTATGTCTTTTTTTTAAGGTAACTATATCTTATGTCTTTTTTTTTTTTTAGAGGTTTAGAGGTAACTATATCTTATGTCTTTTTTTTTTAGAGGTAACTATATCTTATGTCTTTTTTTTTTTAGAGGTAACTATATCTTATGTCTTTTTTTTTTTTAGAGGTAACTATATCTTATGTCTTTTTTTTTTTTTTATTAGAGGTAACTATATATTATGTCTTTTTTTTTTTAGAGGTAACTATATCTTATGTTTTTTTTTTTTTAGAGGTAACTATATCTTATGTCTTTTTTTTTAGCGGTAACTATATCTTATGTATTTTTTTTAGAGGTAACTATATTTTATGTCTTTTTTTTTTAGGTAACTATATCTTATGTCTTTTTTTTTTTTAGAGGTAACTATATCTTATGTCTTTTTTTTTATATCTAATGTCTTTTTTTTTTTTTAGAGGTAACTATATCTTATGTCTTATCTTATGTCTTTTTTTTTAGAGGTAACTATATCTTATGTCTTTTTTTTTTTTTTTTAGAGGTAACTATATCTTATGTTTTTTTTTTTAGAGGTAACTATATCTTATGTCTTTTTTTTTAGAGGTAACTATATCTTATGTCTTTTTTTTTTAGAGGTAACTATATCTTATGTCTTTTTTTTTTTTTTTTTTTTTTAGAGGTAACTATATCTTATGTCTTTTTTTTTTTTAGAGGTAACTCTTATGTCTTTTTTTTTTTTTAGAGGTAACTATATCTTATGTCTTTTTTTTTAGAGGTAACTATATCTTATGTCTTTTTTTTTTTTTTAGAGGTAACTATATCTTATGTCTTTTTTTTTTAGAGGTAACTATATCTTATGTCTTTTTTTAGAGGTAACTATATCTTATGTCTTTTTTTTAGAGGTAACTATATCTTATGTCTTTTTTTTAAAGGTAACTATATCTTATGTCTTTTTTTTAGAGGTAACTATATCTTATGTCTTTTTTTAGAGGTAACTATATCTTATGTCTTTTTTTTTTTAGAGGTAACTATATCTTATGTCTTTTTTTTTAGAGGTAACTATATCTTATGTTTTTTAGAGGTAACTATATCTTTTTTTTTTTTTTTAGAGGTAACTATATCTTATGTCTTTTTTTTAGAGGTAACTATATCTTATGTCTTTTTTTTAGAGGTAACTATATCTTATGTCTTTTTTTTTTAGAGGTAACTATATCTTATGTCTTTTTTTTTTTTAGAGGTAACTATATCTTATGTCTTTTTTTTTAGAGGTAACTATATCTTATGTCTTTTTTTAGAGGTAACTATATCTTATGTCTTTTTTTTTTAGAGGTAACTATATCTTATGTCTTTTTTTTAGAGGTAACTATATCTTATGTCTTTTTTTTTTTTTTTAGAGGTAACTATATCTTATGTCTTTTTTTTTAGAGGTAACTATATCTTATGTCTTTTTTTTTTTTTTTTTTTTTTAGAGGTAACTATATCTTATGTCTTTTTTTTTAGAGGTAACTATATCTTATGTCTTTTTTTTTTTTTTTTGTCTTTTTTAGAGGTAACTATATCTTATGTCTTTTTTTAGAGGTAACTATATCTTATGTCTTTTTTTTAGAGGTAACTATATCTTATGTCTTTTTTTTTTTTTTTTTAGAGGTAACTATATCTTATGTCTTTTTTTTTAGAGGTAACTATATTTTATGTCTTTTTTTTTTTTTTTTAGAGGTAACTATATCTTTATGTCTTTTTTTTTTAGAGGTAACTATATCTTTTTTTTTGTCTTTTTTTTTTTTAGGTAACTATATCTTATGTCTTTTTTTTAGAGGTAACTATATTTTATGTCTTTTTTTTTAGAGGTAACTATATCTTTTTTTTTTTTTAGAGGTAACTATATCTTATGTCTTTTTTTAGAGGTAACTATATTTTATGTCTTTTTTTTTTTTAGAGGTAACTATATTTTATGTCTTTTTTTTTAGAGGTAACTATATCTTATGTCTTTTTTTTTTTTTAGGTCTTTTTTTTTTTTTTTTTTAGAGGTAACTATATCTTATGTCTTTTTTTTTAGAGGTAACTATATCTTATGTCTTTTTTTTTTTTAGAGGTAACTATATCTTATGTCTTTTTTTTTAGAGGTAACTATATCTTATGTCTTTTTTTTTAGAGGTAACTATATCTTATGTCTTTTTTTTTAGAGGTAACTATATCTTACGTCTTTTTTTTAGAGGTAACTATATCTTGTATCTTTCTTGGTTTCCTTATTTTCTTTCTCCTTTTTTGTGGGAAAAGGGATTGTTAGCAACTAAATATTAAAAATTATAACCTTCAGTTACCATCACCTGATGAGATTCTATAATAGGCATCGAAACATGGATGCATTGATGTAG